CTGGCTTTTATTTTACAATTGAGCTTCTCCATCTTCAGCTTTGAATTATGTCATCTATTTGATTGCTATGTCGGCCATCAGATCATGACCATGTATACAGCACCTCTTTGCTTGGTTGAAGCATGACCTTGCAATGAAAAGATTGTTGGCCCTACAAAGTTCAGCCAGTTACTCTCCTGCTTCATTTCTTGATTCTAAGCCAAATTTTCTTACTATCTTTGATTCTGTTCTGTTTTCTACTTTTGTGTTCCAGTCACCTATAATAAGTCATGTTTTGATGTGTGATCAATTTCCTTCTTGACTCTAGCACAGAATCTTTCCATTTCTTCTTCCTTTGTAGTTGGAGCATAAATTTGGGGTATGATAATATTATTGGGTTTTCTCTGAAATCTTATTGATATGATTCATTCAGACTTTACATTACATCCTTTGACTGTTTCTGCTACCTGTCACAATTAATCCCTCATCATTTCTTATATTTTCATTTCTTCAGTAAAACACTCATTTAAAATGTCTCATTCCTGTCCACTTTTGCTCTCTCATCCAAGTATTGCATTGTCTACAAGTTCCATTTCATGTTTTTTAGGCCTAGCTTCCCCTGATTCATGCTTCTAACATTACATGTTTCTATAATATATGTTGTGCAGTTTCAGACTTCCCTTTCTCCTCAGAACATGTCAACAGTTGACTTGTGTCCACTTGCATCTTTATCCACAGAGCTGGTTGTAGTTGTCCTCTACGGTACCCCAGTAACAGATTGAGTGCCATCTGAGTGTCATTTTCCTGGCACTATCTCTTATTTCATTTTGTAGTGTCTCATCTTATGTTCTTTCCTGGTGAAAGATATTCAAAAGAAGGTTTACAATTCCTCCTTATGCACAGTACTGACAAGTATTAGCTATGGTGTCACTGTCATTGTCTCTAAAAAATCCTCTGTCAGTTCCACCCACTACTACTGCTGCTGCCCAATAGCTGTTTGGAACATTTAGTCCGGCTCCTCAGCAAAAGCCTATCTGGCATAGAAGACCTTACCAAAGGTACTGCTTCTATCAGCATAGCCTCTCGCTTCGGTAGCATGCAATCCCATAATCAGACATTCCCCTGCCCCCTGCCAGTATGGCTTTGTTTCCTGTAAAATACTTTTTAAAGGTAGTTATGTATATATAGCATTTTAAATTCTATAATTTTAAAATGCTATAATTTTCCTTTATATTAATTTTATCTACTGGGATAGATAATTCATAGATCAGTTAGGAAAAGAGGTAAGATGTCAGCTTTTTCTATTCCCTATTTTTTCTCTGTGATTAATTTGACAGCAAATAAGAACTTGCAGTTCTGGGAGCTATAATCTTTCCAGAGTTTTGAATCCTTCCTTCTTTCATTCTGACTCCATGTCTCCCTCCTGACTGCACAGCTGCAGCCAGCTCTGTGAACTGGAGAAAATGAGGTTCAGAGACCAGATGTTTGGGGGGAGGGAAAAGGAAACAAACTGAGTTGTTCTGTGGTTTAGATTAAAATCAAGTGGAGAGTGGACCTTTCGGAGACATAAAGTTCATCTAGTGTTAAAGGTGAGCATATGCAAATCACCAGGGTTCATTTTGTGAGTGAATGAAATCTTAACATCAGTATCACCTCTACCTTGTCATGTATGACTCCAAGGCTTTCTTATGAGCACAGCATCAGTTTATTTGGAGAGCTAAATCTTGATTTCATTCAAGCTTTATTTATAACAGCTTTTCATGAAATTCTAAAAAAGCATTAAATGCTATAGTGTGTTTCTGCATACATACACATGTATTTGTTTACCTATGTGTGTAGTGTTGTTCTCTAAACACATTGACACCTCTCTGTTTATATTTTTAAAAAGACCCAGTCTGTCTGAGCCAAAATAGGTTCAAGCCGCAAGCTGAATGAGAACTAGAAAAAATAGAGTCAGTAGGATGGGCTGATGCCTCTCAACCACCTGCTAAATTGAGTCAGTGGAAATGATGACATTTGAGGGAGTGGGCTTTTGGATACAGGAAGCATCTAAATGGAAACAGCATATTTTTCATGAGCTTTTGCAGGCTGTGTGGATTTGCTTTGTTGTCTGTATTGTCACTGGAAAGGAACTTTAGTGCTGGACACTGAACACCAGTACTAGCCATTTGGAGTGATGTTGCTAGGTTGGCACATGGACCACCACACTAATCTGTGCCCTTATGTGCAATTTTGTGTGCCATCTTGTTATGCCCAGGCAACAATACACACAGCATGGAGACAGTCTAATGGTAGCAAGTCCAGGCTCAATGATCAGGATTTTTTTACATTTGAGTTTTGATATTTATGTGGATTGATTTTATTGGGAATAAGAGTGTAGACTTTTTGTGGTGTGTACAGTTACACTATCCCTTTGACAACAGCTTGATAGAGCTTCCAAGCAGACTACATATAGGGCTAAGATGGGGAACATGAGATGTTCCAGATTTGGGATTGTAGGTCCCATCAGTTTTAGTTTACACAGGCAAAGCTGATGAGTAGTTTTAGCCCATCCACATCTAGAAATCTTTCATTCCTCATCTCTAATGTGAAATTTCTATAGGAGCGTGTGATGTGTAGCCCATAGGAAGATTTTGTTCTGTGTGGTTTTGTTGACATTTTGCTGATGCTCTTCATAAATGGCTTAAACCTCTATAATAGCCTTGTCTAACTGCCTTCTAGATATTTTGGGCTTCAGCTCCCATCAACTGCAACTAAAACAACTAGTGGTGAGGAGTTGTGGGAATAAAGGTCCCAAATATCTTAAGAACATTTGATTAGGAAACAGCAGGTGCTCTACATATGTGTGTTGGAGTTTTGTGTACATAAACATAGAGGTATGGCAGTGGTTTCATTTTCTAAGTGGGTATTTTAACCCCCATGTCCTGAAGACCTTGACCAAAACTCAAATCACTACACAATGCTGACTCCATGTATCTTTCTATTATCTTTTACAGGGTTGCACCTTTTAAACTGGGTTTAAACCATGTACATAACCCATTATTTTATCCAGTCAAGGGCTTCATACCTTCAAAGGTCAGAGTTTGTTTATCAGACACAAGCGTGGATAGAGCCATGCACATATTTATTTATTTATTTAAGGCTTTTATATCCTGTCCTTTCTCAACCACCACAGAGGGACTCAGTATGGCTAACAAAGTGGCACCCCATGGCACCCATATCAAAACATAAATATACAATTAACAGCAATATAATAACAACAACAATATAAAACAGTATAAACAGTATAAAACCATATAAACAATATAAAACAATATAAAAACAGACAACAAATGGTCAGTGGTCACCGATTTAAATCATTATCCAAGGGCAGTCCATCAGTTCTAAATGAGTCAACACGTCAGTAGGTCAGCCTATTCTCCATAAACAGGATTTTACTTGTTTCCGGAAGGTCAAGAGGGATGCAGCAGATCTAATTTCACTCGAGAGGGAGTTCCATAGCCAGAGGGCCACCACAGAAAAGGCCCTGTCCCTTGTCCCCACCAGACGCGATTGTGACAATGGGGGGGACAATGAGCAGGGTCTCCTCATACATCCTCTACCACACATATCTACTTCCTTCTCTTTCTTTATCTGTCTGGCCCCCTTCTTCCTTCTTCTGCCATGGATTTTCCTTCTTCTTCTTCTCTCTCTCTCTATGGCTCCTTTCCCCCTGGTTGGTGACTTACATATCAGTGTGGTTCCAATCTGGGGTTTAGTCTAGATTTTAAAGGATGCTAAATGCTATCAGCAAAATAGGATCAGTACAATAGGCCTGCTTATTATTTGGGTCTCATTAACATGGTTTCAGTTAATTGAGAATAGCTTTGAATACCATGTAGTCCTGTTGGAGGATTATAATGTTGCCTAGATCTCCAGTGTGATTCTATGGTCCACGTCCACCAGAGGTTCTGCCAGAAGCTGACCATAGCAACTGGGGGTCTGGAGAGAACAATTTTCTAAAAATCACTAGATCCTTCGGTATGATCTATGTTATGCTTCGCTCAGAAGCCCAAGCCATATATAATTTCAGATAGGAAAAGTAGGGTTCCAGATTACACAAAAATCATATTACATGAAGGATCCTGGAATGGATCCCTGTATAATATGCAGGCTAACTGTATTTTTGAAAAGTCTTAGTATTTGGATGAAAACCCAGAACAGATTCCCAGGATGGTTCCCACAAACATGCAATCCATCAGTGCCTCTTGCTCTCAAGTGCTGATGGAGAAGATAAGATCATCCTTAACCAGAGTTTTGAATCTGTGGAGGGTATTTCAAAGCAATCTTAGATTTTCAGGCTGCCCACTCCTGTTTGCGTGAATGTGCTTACTTTTAGCACAGTGACATCTTGGCTTTCTCTTCACCTCTTTTGCTTTTCAGAGCACAAGTGTGAATGTGATGTTGAGTGCTTTTTACTTTGCAGCCCTCATTGCATTTATTCATAGAGCATCTCAGCAAGAAACAGTGTGCTGAGAATGTTTCTCTAGGATTTTATCCAAGAGGAATTCCCTTAGGTTAAGATTGCTGGGTCAAATTTGCAAAAATAAAGGGGCATCTTGGAAATGTGGAAAGTCATAAAGCTGGGGCACTTGATGGAGGGAGCAGAGTAATCTCTGGGGTTTGTGGCACAAAGCCCTCTTAATAGCAAAGAATGCCCACTGGGTATTCATACTTTCGAACTTCAAAGGAGCAGAAGTGTGGATATCAGGCTAATCCATCAGATATATTTATGGCAAAGATTTTCATCATTATGCAGCATCTCAGCAGAGGGGGCATTTGAGCTTGGCTTGCAGTACCCAAGCTGGCAGATTCAGCAATCATGTCAATTTGATATGAAATTTCCTCTATAGCAACGTTGTCTGTGATGTCACTGGAAGGCACATGGGTCCCAACAGATTAAGGGGGAAAACTGTTTCAGTAAACGGCATTGCACATTTAATTCTTCCCTCGTTTCTCTCATCTTTCCCTTGCAAATACAGAATAATTAGTAACCATGACGACAGAGACGGGTCCAGATTCGGAGGTGAAAAATGCCCAGGAGGAAACTTCCCAGCAACAACTGGAGGCAGCAGCAAGTGGGCCAAACACACTGACCAGCTCAACACCTACCGCAAACAGTCAGGAAGCTGAAGCTAATGAGAAACCAGGAGCCCAGGGTGACTCCAAACATGCCGAGAGGGTGAGTTGAGTCAACTACTAAGAATGCTATCACTATGGCTGAGCTCTGATACATCCCATATGAAGTAATAAAGAAGAGCATGTTTATGATTGATTGCATTGTAAATGAAACTTCAATATGCCACAATCAAATTGAACATACACAGTCCAGTTATTGCATTCAGAAGCAGGGAGAATGATTGACTTTCTCCACAGTTGCAAGGGTAGCTGCTAAAGCCAAAAGCTCGCTTGGATAAATCTTAGAGTGAATTAGGCAGAAGGCACATGGAAACACAGATGAAAGCAAGCACAACATGACAAAGGATATGGGTTTAAATTGATGATGAAATTGATAAACCTTTTTCATTACTAAAAGTCAGTGTTCATCCCACAGAGGATATCCTGAAATCTTCAGGAGAGGTCCTTCTTTCACTTTTATTACCTTCACAGGTATAATGAATGGAGATGTGGAAAGGGGCCTTCCCAGCAGATACCCCAAGGCTTTGCAATTCCCTTTTTAGTTAGGCTAGAATGGGTCCTCTTCTTTCTGGCTTCTGTTGGCAAGTAAAGGCCTAAAAATATCCAACATCCATTTGAGAACTGAAGGGTTTTAAGGGAAGCACTGTAGTGTTTAAATTGTACTGTAACTAACTGTTTATTAAACATTTTAAAAGTGTATTTTAAATTGGTTTTATTGTTAATAGTTTAATTCTGTTTTAACACTGAACTTTTGCATTTTAATTATGTAGCATTTTTTAAAAAAAAAATCTTTGTTACAATGAGTGCTAGTTTAGAGGAAAAGACAGGTTATAAATAAAGAAAACAAGAATAGCAACAAGTCTGCATACTTCTGCCATCTGTGGGAAGAATTCATCTGCTGGAGAGAATAGCAAGCTTAAATTCAGATTTTTTATTATTTTATTTGTTTTGTAATGGAACTTCTAATATCTGTTTGCCTAAAATGTTCCTGTTGGCTAATGGCATTAAATTATTGAAATCTGAAGTCCTGCCCTATATTTTGTCAGCCCTGGAGCCTATTGCATTTGGGTATTGACAAGTTACCAACTCTAGGTGTAACTGTTCCCAGATCTGCTGCAGAAAAGCCCAATACAGAAAGTGGGTATGTTCCATCAGTAAACAGAAATGCTGGACCAATCTAACAACCACCATGTCATTGTGAGACTACACAGAGAAGCCATTGAAATCCACAAGCATGTAGACAATTTCAACAGAAAGGAGGAAACCTACAACAACCCAGAAACAAGATCTTTTTTTAAAAAAAAAATCCCTTTATTTTGCTATAACTCACAGAGCAATATGACCAACTGCTGTACATATCTGAAAATTCTGGGAAGTGCAACTTAAAAGGGTAATGGTAACTCTTTGCCAAAGCAAGACGCTCCTGGTTGAGCAGTTATTATGACTAGTCTGACCGTTATTATGACTAGCTGACAAAAAGGCTAGAGGCGAGGCTTAGTGTCATCCCTAACTCACTTGCAAATCTGTGACATGTTGGAATGTCTGTTTGTGAATAGTAAAGAGAAGTCCTCTAGTCCTCTGATAAGCTTGAGTCCTCAAGGGAAGAAAATGAGAGATCTTTCTCAAAGAAATCCTCAGACCACGATCATCAGCATCAGGAGGAACACGTGCCATGGGAGGGTTGCAGTTTGTTTTCTGTTACACATGGCTGAGCAGCCTGCGGCTCTGTCTTGTTTCTGTTTGGAAAGATGCACGAGGCTGTATTGGAAGTCTCAGTGTGATGGAGAATCAATATGGAGCTTGTTTTGCCAAGGGTATATTTTTGACCTTGTCCATCTGCCACAAAGACATTTAGTTCTCCTTTAAACATCACATCTATGTAGGATCTTTGTTTACCCCCTAAAATATAATGAAGTACACAACGTAATTGGGTAGCATAACATTCAGAAATTGTTCCAAGTCTGAAAGCCATTCTCCTTCCTTTCCTCTTTAAGAAGGCTTCATTAGTAGGTGGAGAGGGAATTCTTGCATCTCATTCAATTGAATGCAGAGCTAATGAATTCATAGCTAAAACAGTTATATAAATAGAGTAGCCGATAGAGTATTATTTTGCAGGGGAGAAAGCATGGCAGACCAATCTCTTGGCCTGGATAGAACTAAGAGGCCAAAGGATAAAATGAAAACAAATCTATTATGTTATTTGCCCTCCAATCCCCATGCAAAAAAAAACCCGAATGTCTTAAAAGCTCTGTAGATTGAGGCAGGGAAGAGATAAACAACCTTTGTTCCTTTCAGACGTCATGTATTTTGCCAAACATTTTTTCTTCTGCCAAAAGTCATCTCCATCTGATATGCATGGAAATTATTTGGACTGATTCTGGGCCATCTGAGAACACTTCTCATTTGACCAAATATAGAGCAGCCACTTGATTTACTGGGGAAAAAAACAGCCAAAGGCTACTTACAATTGCCTAGAGGTCACTGAACAGCTGCTCTTGGTCAAGAGATGCGGCTGCTTAAGTCACCTTAACCTACTATTCGAAGTGTGTTTCCATTAAAATCAGCAAAATGTACTTCTGAGTAAATATTTAGAACTGGGAGATATCAGACTTGAGATTTTAAGCATTCTTTAAATCTCCATATGATGTCATCTTCCTTCCATCTTCTTTGAACATTAGAAATCTTATCTCAGGATGCCACTAAGTCTATATCAGGCTCCCCATGTCCTGGAGTGCATTCTAGCACAAAGCAAAGCATTATATTTCTAAAACCCTTTTGTCTTTTTTGTTTTCTGTTTACTGTATCTCAGTGATTGTGAGAAATCATTAGTTTATCAATGGATCCAAATTTTAGATGGTTCCACTTGCCTACATGATGTAATTACAGTGGGCACTTGGTATCCACTGGTTCTGGATCCGTTAACAAATTAAATGGATCCAGAAACTGCAGAACTAGTAAAGAAACAAATTAAACTGAGATCTAGTACAATCATACCAAAAGCAACCTATCAGCACCCACTTTGCAAGGCCTAGAAATGTGCATCCTCATTATGCCTATTATGTGTATATTTAATTTAAAATAATATTAATTAAACTTAGAAAGTCAGCTTTTTTGAACTTTTGTAATATGCAGCTTGTAAAAGCAATCAGTCCTTCTAGAGCAGGGTTAAGAGATATATGGCACTTTGAGATGCTGCTAGATTTCATTCAATATTTCAATTGTCTGTGGTGGTTGGGGTTGATGGGATGGAATTCAGAATTTGACATGCTGCAAATTCATGCAATCAGCTGTATGGGCAGCACTGATTTTGTTGGGTTGTTGTAGGTATTTCGGGCTGTATGGCCATGTTCTAGAAGCATTCTCTCCTGATGTTTCACCTGCACCTATGGCAGCCATACTCATATGTTGTGAGGTCTGTTGGACACTAGGAAATTGGGGTTTATATATCTGTGGAATGTCCAGGGTGGGAGAAAGAACTCGTGTCTGTTGGAGCTAGGTGTGAATGTTTCAATTGGCCACCTTGATTAGCATTTAATGACCTGACCGTTTTTAGGTGTGGCTTGTTAGTGCCTGGGGAAATCCTTTTTTGAGAAGTGATTAGCTGTCCCTGATTGCTTTTTTGTCTGGAGTTCCCCTGTATTTGAGCATTGTTCTTTATTTACTGTTATAATTTTGGAGGTTTTTTTAGTACCGGTAGCCTGATTTTGTTCATTTTCATGGTTTCTTCCTTTATGTTGAAATTGTCCACATGCTTGTGGATTTCAATGTCTTCTCTCTGTAGCCTGACATGGTAGTTGTTAGTGTGGTCCAGCATTTCTGTGTTCTCAGATAATATGCTATGTCCAGGTTGGTTCATCAGGTGTTCTGCTATGGCTGACTTCTCTGGCTGAAGTAGTCTGCAGTGCCTTTCATGTTCCTTAATTCATATTTGGGAGCTGTAATTGGTGGTGCCAATGTAGACTTGTCCACAGCTGCATGGAATATGGTAGACTCCTGCAGAGGTGAGAGGATCCCTCTTGTCCTTTGCTGAGTGTAGCATTTGTTGGATTTTCTTGGTGGGTCTGTAGGTAGTTTGTATGTTGTGTTTCCTCATCAGCTTCCCTATGCGGTTAGTGGTTCCCTTGATGTATGGCAAGAACACTTTTCCTCTGGGTGGATCTTTGCTTTTCTCTTGTAACTTGTTCAGTCTTGCAGCTCTTCCGATGTCTGTGGTGGTTTTGTTATTTTATTGGCTATTTATTTAGTTTTATGATTATATACTTCTTATTATATATATTATATATATTATATATTATATATTATATACGTGGAACAATGGCTTCAAACTACAAGAAAGGAGATTCCACCTGAACATTAGGAAGAACTTCCTGACTGTGAGAGCCATTCAGAAGTGGAACTCTCTGCCCTGGAGTGTGATGGAGGCTCCTTCTTTGGAAGCTTTTAAACAGAGGCTGGATGGCCATCTGTCAGGGGTGATTTGAATGCAATATTCCTGCTTCTTGGCAGGGGGTTGGACTGGATGGCCCATGAGGTCTCTTCCAACTCTTTGATTCTATGATTCTTGAGCAATATTTTCAATAAACAAATAGTAAATATTAATAAAGCAATTTTTCAGGTCACTCTTGCTATCATAAAATGGAAGATGACATTTCTTTTCTTCATCATCATAGACTATGAATAGATTATATTTTGGGACTCCAAATGTTTGCAAGTTTGCACGTTTAGAGGACAAGAAGCAATATCAGGGCATGGTTGAGTCATAGCCAGGATTTCAAGGGCCAAGAACCAAACCAGACTGCTAAATAGGATCATTGTCCATGAGCCAGACACAAGGTCAGAGGCAGAGAAATGTTCAGAACAGAGCTAAGATAGAACTACTGATAAGAAATAGGAAGAACAATCTCCATGAAACATGATCAGCATGCGGATCCTCTCTGATGAATGGCAAAGGTGGTATGACCAAGAAGGCAGCAACATCATAGTGCAGGCAAGTTCATTTAATACTCACAAAGGTGCTTGAACTTGGAGGGAGGCATATTTTCTTCTACGCAAGCTGTCAAGGAAGAAGAATCAAGGTGAGTCCACTATTAACAAAGTGGAAAGGTGCCTGTAAGATAAAAAGTAGAGACAGAAGAGCAGAGTGCTTTTTTTTACTTTGCAGGTTCCTTGCCCAGTACAAAACAGCAAAATGCCACAGAGTTCTGGATAATGAGCCAGAGGCTGTTTATTGGGCTGAAGTGCCTGCTTCTAGTTTAACCAAATCAGCAACACCAACAAGTTCTTAACATGGTTAAAAGACTGCACACAAGAGACAGAAACATTACTGTCAACCTGGCATAAGCCCTCTCTTTGTAAAAAATTAGGTTAATGTACAATGCTGTTTTTCACAACAGGAGTGTCTGAGATGACATCTTGCTTCCAGGTGGGATGGTCACTTACAGTGTGAACCCATTACCCATGGAACTGGGACCTGTGCCTTTATCTGCTCCCGTGTGACAAAATATATCATCTCTAGGCTTTTTCTAGGTCCTCCAGGCAATTCTGTGATATGCTTCTGTCAGAAACTACCCTAGAGTCATGCTGGCAAATTCTTAGAGACAATACATTTCGGGGAAATTTCTAGGTCTTCCAGCATACTTTTATGGTAACTTCTAGTGGGAGTTATTTCTTTTAATTGGGTTTCCTATTATTTACTGTTTCCATAATAAGTTCAAGAGTGTATGGGGATCATATTGTATAGTTAAAACTAGTGGCATGGAATTCTCATGGCCAGTTGACATTTGTTTGCTCTGTGAGTTGTCTGTTTCAGTTGTTGTACCATTTATAATCTTTTGGGCAACTCTCATCAAGAAATGAAAAAAAGAAAAAAAGAATGACAATCCAATAAAGAGCAGAGAAGACTGCCAAAGTCTGTTACAGAAGAAAAAAAAGAACATCCATCCCCTTTAAAAGTCTCATATGTCATCCATGCCCTCTTCTGTCTGTAGGGTTTTTTATGAGGTTAAATTTACAACATCTTACCCACTATCTTTTCTGAAAATGTGCCCTTTTTTCAAACCCTAATAATTGTTTGATAGCATTTCTTCGATTCACTTGGTGCATTCTAGCATGTTTGCATTTCTCTGCACGTTGGGTGTGTGCTCTTTTTTCTATGCGCACTTGATTGGACATGTCTGCAGTTGTCTGGTAATGTTCATATTTTGGAACCCAGGTCCTTCTAGTTCCTGTCTGGGCAAGGGAGAAGTCTGCACAAAATGTCACCATAGATTCTTTGGACATGTATGCTAGCCATAATGAAGGTTTACTAAGTCTTTATTCATTGGAACATCACCAGTAGGTTGATATCTGAGAAATGTTCACATGATGCCTTTAGAGAAAATGATTCATGGTCCATCTGCTTATTGATTGAGATGGGCTCTTTTGCCAGGAGCACTGAATGAGGCTTTGGGTGAGTCAAAGAGTAGTCTGGCATTGTTAAAACCAAGCCTCTGCCAACCCCCTTTCCCCCTTGAGTTCTTCTGTGTCAGGCATGCCTTTATTGCTGTAATGGATTAGAATTACAACAAGAATCCATTATGATCATACTACTGAATGCTGGATCAATGTCCAGAATGCCACTAATGGGAAGGATCTTGCCATTCTCGCTACTGTGTGGGCTGCAGCATTGTGTTTATTGCAGAGCTTTGCTTTTCCTCTGAGAGACTTCACAGCAGTCAGTTTGGGAGAGTGCCAAGCTATTGGCATTTCATAGAGTTCTGATGGCGCATCTTAACAAGAATCAATGTGCCCTCAGGAGATCATTGTGTCCATGTGGGATTTCATTCCTTGCTTCTCCCAACCGCCCGTCATCCTATTCACTTGAAGCATTCAGATAAAACATTGTTAGGCAATGATTTAATATTAATGTTTGGAATAGTTTGTAGTGCTGGCAAAGGAAGTTTAGGAGATGTAACTGAAAAGATAACTTTCCCAAACTACAGCATATCCTCTAGCAGTTACAGATGAAATTCAGGACATCTGCGGCCAAGCAACAACACAGTATTGTCAAGATAGCAAAAATTATTTTGAGGAAGGACACATAAGTGAGGAGAGGCTGCAGCAGTTCGTTTTTGACTGAATCTACGGCCAAGGGCAGGATTTTGTCCCTTCCTTGCTCTCCCCTTACTGAGTAGAACACATTTTTTTAAAAAATTGAATTCAGTGTGCAGCAATTGAGGTAAACTGAGGACAAGAGGAAAAGTGGGAAAGGGAGAGAGAAATGAGGATACTTTAAAAGAAACTAAATGGCGAAATGACAAGTGGTCATTGGGACTCCCTGACAAATTTTGACAGAGGGTATTTCTAGAGCCTCAAGTTAGAGTAACATTTATATATTCTACATCAATGAGTAAACATGAGACAGGGAAGAATAAATATGCTATATTAAAGAAATATAATATTGAGTGTACTTACATTTTGGGGAAAATTGAATATATTTACCTTTTTTTGCATTTTGATTTTTTCCCTCCTAGTTGTTTCCATAGCAGGTGTGTTTTACAGGATACCAAAACCTCATAGCCCTGAACACTGGAGAGCAAATGGTAATTCCATCCTCCAGAGTTTGTGGAAGCATTGCAATGTCTGGAAGGATGGGATAGCATCTGTAATGCCAACTAGGTTAAGATTGTTGGGGGAGGCCCTGCTCTCGATTCCGCCCCCTCGCAGGCACGACAGGTGGGAATGAGAGACAGGGCCTTCTCAGTGGTGGCCCTTCATCTGTGGAACTCTCTCCCCAAGGAAATCGGGTCAGCCCCCTCTTTCCTGACCTTCAGGAAAAAGCTTAAGACATGGTTATGGGGCCAAGCATTCGAGCAGTAATTGTAGCAATGCAATAATAATGAAATAATGTGATTGACAAATGGACAGGCCTGGAACTACAGTTTAAATTTGCATGATTTTAACTGTTGTTTTAATAACTGATCTTTTAATTATTTGGATTTTGATGTATTTATTTTTGGATTTATATGTGTTGGCATTGAATCGTTGCCTGTTGTAAGGGTGCCCTAAGGGGTGAGAAGGGTGGGGGGTAAAAATGTGGAAATAAATAAATAAATAAAATATCTAACTAAGCATCAGCAGCCCTGATTAGTACTTAGATGGGAGAACAGGTGCTGTATACTATATTTAATGGGAAGTAAATGACAAAACTACTTTTGGATATTCCTTGCTTAAGAAAACCCTACGAAATCGATGGGGTTGCAATATATCGACAGGCAACTTGAAGGCACATCCACACATAATGCCAAATATCAGTTTTGTAAAGATTTCCAGCAAATATAGCAGAAATGTGCAGGAAAGAAAAATAGTCTCCTCATCCCATTTTTCTTGGCATATTACAGGCTGTGGACATGGATGAAAAGGACTACAGTGAAGCAGATGGGGTATCTGAGAAAACCACTCCCAGCAAGACCCAGAAATCACCTCAGAAGGTCACCAAGAAACTCAAGAGTGCCATCTGCAGAGTGACCCTCCTTGATGCCTCAGAATATGAGTGTGAAGTGGAGGTAAGTCAGGGATGTAGTGATTGGCATTTAAAATCCATTAATATGTTTATGTGGAATGTACCATAGACCTTCAGTGCCCTTCCACATGAAAAGCATTCACCAAACCTCTTGTTTTTAAAATGTCAATAATCAGTGGGTTAAATCAATTAATGGTTTCTGCTCTGTCAAAAACACATATACGTGTGTACTTAGTTCCCCATAAAGATGCACATGGAAAGTAGAAGTGAATGACTCACATGTTTCTAAGCGTGGGCTGCCTGCTATTTGTGCATTATGGAGAAAATGAAGCATAGGAAATGTGTGTGTGTGTGTGTGTGTGTGTGTGTGTGTCAGAGAAAAAGAAAGAGTGAGAATTTATGTAACTTTTATCCTGACTGGGATCCCTCAAGGAAGAGAATGTTATTAATAGCATAGAAGTGATACACTGAAGCTATGATAAAAGCTTCTAAAGCCTCATTTAGAAAATTACCTGTCCCTTCATGTTTTGATGCACATGTCTGCTTTCCTGCAGATATCCAAGCAATGGCTCACATTTCTGTGGGACCTGGAATAATTGTTCTCTTTACTTTCATGACAGAAAAAAAAAATGGTTGTACTTTAGAATTTTTTTGAGAGGGCATAATTTGCCTTCTTTTGCAAATTTTGTACAAAAGTTGGATTGAATAAAAATCCTGTTTTCCCTCTTTATGCTTACAAAACTAAATAGCTTGCAATCAGGGAAGCCTTGAAGAGACAGAGCAGATTTTGGAAGAGAGTATTAATATATGAAAGGATAACTTAGAGTGTGGGTTATGGCAGGAGTTATCTATAATATCTATTGGGGGTTTTCAAACAAAATTGGTAGCCTTGGAACCAATACATCTTGATGGGGGCCAAGAGATGAATCAGATATTTTGCAACAACTGCATATGTTTTATGGTGCATAAGAGATGGGTATAATTTAGGAGAGGAGCAACGAACCAGATGTAGAAGCCAAGCAGGTATTTGTAGTCATGTTTCAAAGATGAGTGTTGCAGAAAATAGAAACATCATGGGGTTTGCGACTGTACAAACAAAAGGCAACAATTGTAGCAATTAGTTTTTTGCAATATTTTTATCCCTCTGTATCAGATAGAAGAGTAGTATATGTGCTATATGAGTTTTATATGTGCATTGATGCAGGCATGCAGCCGGGGGGAGGGGGGCTCGGGGGGCCCCCCCCCCCCCCTCCGAAATTCTCATGGTGGTTCGCGAAAAGGCCTTACTGGTGCATTATTTAAACTGTTATGTTTATTCATATCATGATCTGATCACCATACTCAATATATCCCATATGCATGGGGGTATTGGGGTAACAATACAAAAGGTTTGCTAGGCTAGACCCTCTTTCACTCAGACTCAGCCCCCCCCCTAACTCCCCCCCCCGAAACCCCCCCCCCTGAAAAAATATCAGCCCCCCCCCCCCCCCCCGAAACGAAATCCTGGCTACGGGCCTGCATTGATGTTATCTTTTTTTCTTAGCAAAATACACAGGCAAGCTGAACAGGAAAGTGTGCCTTGTTCCACTATGATTTATATGTTGCCCTGTGTCTAAGTACACAAAGTATTCCAACAACCACAAAAAGACAAAAAGAACATCCTTGTGCCCTCACTGTAAATAACATGAAGTAGAAGCTTTCTGTTCCAGAGGATCAGATACAGTTTCATAAGGGACTGGGACACTAGCAAACAGAACTTGGGGGGAAAATGGATACAAATTCTCAGTGGCCATACTAGCTATCGTCATGCTAGCTGGGGGATTCTGCAAACTGTTATCTCAAAAAAGCCTTCATGTTCTCACAGCTTTTGAAAGCAGTAGAATGAGTTGGAAATAGAAGAGATTACGATCAGCAGAGAAGAGGAATGAGTTGTATCCCCTATAAATTGAATAATGCTGTTGGAAGAACTTGGCTCATAACACTTTCCTAACAGGGGCCTCCAGCTTCTTGATCTCTGCTGATGAGCTGATGCTGCTTTGCATGTGATCCTCCCTCACAAGAGATTTTTGTTGTTGCCAGAGATGCAGAATGCCCCTCCGTGCTCTTTGCTAGTTGTGGTATAATTAATTTCAAATTCCAAGCATTGCTTTCCATTGAGAGCAACTGTAGTTACATATTAACATCCGAGTCTCTGTTAGTTAAGGCAGCATCTTTTGCTGGGCCAGATTAAGTGTGTGTGTCTGGGAGGGACTGAAAGTAAAACAGATGCAAGGCAGAAAGGTGGGCATCAAATCTCTGCAAGATAATGCTAATGAAGAGTGGGGAACACCCACAACCCAAGCTGCATAAGAAAGGGGAGAATGAAAGCAAGAGAGAAAGAGAAATAATTAACAGCATATACCCCATTAATCTGGGGACAGAAGTGCGAGACATTGTTCAGGAGGCGGCAACAAAGTACGTCCCAAAGAAAAAGAAAACCAAGAAGGCAAATGGTTGTCTGCTGAGACACTGGAAGTAGCCCAAGAAAGGAGGAAAGCAAAAGGAAACAGGGATAAGGGGAGATATGCCCAGTTAAATGCGCAATTCCAGAGGTTAGCCAGAAGAGATAAGGAACTATTTTTAAATAAGCAATGCACGGAAGTGGAAGAAGACAACAGAATAGGAAGGACAAGAGACCTCTTCCAGAAAATTAGAAACATTGGAGGTAAATTTCAGGCAAAAATTGGTATGATAAGAAACAAAGATGGCAGGGACCTAACAGAAGCTGAAGAGATCAAGAGAAGGTGGCGAGACTATACAGATGATCTGTATAGGAAGGATAATAATATTGAGGATAGTTTTGACGGTGTGGTGAATGAATTAGAACCAGACATCCTGAGGAGTGAGGTTGAATGGGCCTTAAGAAGCATTGCTAACAACAAGGCAGCAGGAGACGACGGGATCCCAGCTGAACTGTTTAAAATCTTAAAAGATGATGCTGTCAAGGTGATGCATGCCATTTGCCAGCAAATATGGAAAACACAAGAATGGCCATCAGACTGGAAAAAATCAACTTATATCCCCATACCAAAAAGGGAAATGCGAAAGACTGCTCCAACTTCCGTACAGTGGCCCTTATTTCTCATGCCAGTAAGGTAATGCTCAAGATCCTTCAAGGAAGAATCCAGCAATACATGGAGCGAGAGTTGCCAGATGTTCAAGCTGGGTTTAGAAAAGGCAGAGGAACGAGAGACCAGATTGCCAATATCCGCTGGATAATGGAGAAAGGCAGGGAGTTTCAGAAAAACATCTACTTCTGCTTCCTTGACTATTCTAAAGCCTTTGACTGTGTGGATCATAATAAATTGTGGCAAGTTCTTAGTGGGATGGGCATCCCAAGCCACCTTGTCTCTCTCCTGAGGAATCTGTACAAGGACCAAGTAGCAACAGTCAAAACTGACCACGGAACAACAGACTGGTTCAAGATTGGGAAAGGCGTACGGCAGGCTCATCCTCTCACCCAACCTTATTCAACTTGTATGCAGAACACATCATGCGATGTGTGGGGCTTGACGAATGCAAGGCTGGGGTGAAAATTGCTGGAAGAAACATTAACAACCTTAGATATGCAGATGACACCACTTTGATGGCCAAAAGCGAGGAGGAGCTGAGGAGCCTTCTAATCAAGGTGAAAGAAGAAAGCGCAAAAGCTGGGTTGCAGTTAAACATCAAAAAAACCAAGATTATGGCAACAAGAATGATTGACAACTGGAAAATAGAGGGAGAAACCGTGGAGGCCGTGACAGACTTTGTATTTCTAGTGGCAAAGATTACTGCAGATGCAGACTGTAGCCAGGAAATCAGAAGACGCTTACTTCTTGGGAGGAGAGCAATGTCCAGTCTCGATAAAATAGTGAAGAGTAGAGACATCAGACTGACAACAAAGATCCGCCTAGTCAAAGCCATGGTATTCCCTGTAGTCACCTACGGATGTGAGAGCTGGACCTTAGGGAAGGCTGAGCGAAGGAAGATCGATGCTTTTGAGCTGTGGTGTTGGGGGAAAGTGCTGAGAGTGCCTTGGACTGCGAGAAGATCCAACCAGTCCATCCTCCAGGAAATAAAGCCCGACTGCTCACTGGAGGGAAAGATACTAGAGACAAAGTTGAAGTACTTTGGCCACATCATGAGGAGACAGGAAAGCCTAGAGAAGACAATTATGCTGGGAAAGTGGAAGTATGCTGGGGAAGAGGGGCCGACCAAGGGCAAGATGGATGGATGGCATCCTTGAAGTGACTGGACTTGAGGGAGCTGGGGGTTTTCTACTCTATAGAGGCCTGGCGTGGGCTGGTCCATGAGGTCACGAAGAGTCGGAGACGACTGAACGAATGAACAACAACACCCCATTAATCAAATCCCATACATGCCATCTCTTAGTGTGCAAATTGATGGATTTGCGCAAAACCAATGGCTTCTGGATGGTGGTAAGATGTTTTCTTGATTGAGATGATGAGTCTTTGGATGCTCCTTGATGGCAGCTACTTAAGGGTCTATTTAAGGGTCACTCCTTGATGGCAGCTACCACAAGGAGCTATTTAAAGCAGCCTCCATATCATAAATGTAATGTAGGCAAGGTCACATAAAGAAACCCAACTTTGTCAAAGTGATGCCATTCTAGATTGAAAAGTGGTGCCAACTGAAGTTTTTAAAAGTCTTACATGCTGTATCTTCAATATAGGGGAAATGGAGTATAGTCCTGTCCTCATAGAATGCATGGAACCATTAATTGACTGCTGAGGTTAGCACTGTTTACTTTAAAAATATGTGAAATGGGAGAAAACCAGTCTATGTAGTGTTGTGAACTCCTGGTATGCTTGGATGTGGGTTGTCTTTGTAATGATTCACTCCTAGGTTATGAGCCTGAAATCTCTGAATTTACAGTGCCTGTGAGTACCAGAGAGCTTGTGCCAAATACAAATACCTGTAAGAAGTATTATTATTATTATTATTTATTATTATTATTTATTTGCTTTATTTCTATACCGCATTTTTCAGCCCTTAACAGGC